CGCCCTGCTCCGCGGTGGAAGTAAGTGGAGCTGTCGCTGCAGCCGCCGGCACCTGGGGACAGCGGAGCGCTCCCGATCCCCCACCCCCAGCCTGGGGGCTTCCAGGAGCCGCGGCGACTGCGCAGGAAGCTGCGCGGGGTGGAGCGAGGGGCGGAGAAGGGACCGGAAAGGAACCCTACCCTGGGAGGGTCCAGAACGGGACCTTGGCCACGTGAAGGCCCTGGGAGGCCTCGGGGAAGGGGCTTGGAGTTCCTCAGGTCAGCTGGGTGCCTGTCCGCAATGGCTGAATTTCTCAGAGCTTTAGTTTTTATCTGTAAAATCGGAATAATGATAGTCACAGGATTGCTGTGAGGATTATGGGAGGGACGTGTGTTAATAAGGGCCCGCGACAGGGAGGACTGAAATCAAGGCATTGTCCATCAGCTCAGAAGTGTCATGAGGCTTTGGCTAGAAATAAATGACAAAGATTGAGTTAAGGGCCTTGGGGTTTGCAAAGGGAAAACACAGCTAGGCAATATCCGCAGTTTTCCCAGGAAGAAAGAACGGTTTGAGAGTATAGTAAAAAGCACACGTTTGGGAAAATGTCAGTCCTAAGTTCTAAGTCTGCGGATTGGCTCCGAGGGTGATCTCCCAGATGTCTAGGGTCTGAGTTGTGGAACATTTTCTTCTTGAGGTCATTCACATGGTTAACTGAAGCTTTGCTGTATGTCCAGGCATTGATTATAACAGACCGATGTACATTCAGGTATTGACGCAGGACTGGAAAGTTCAGAAATTTAAGTTCCTAGGCTAGTTAGGACAAAAATAGAATTGTTTTCTAATGCATCAGCTTACTTTCTTTTAATAATTTAGCAGCTTGACCATAGTGACTCCATTTTATTCACTTTTCTTCATCGTCATCACCATTACATGGGCATCTACCTGGTGCTTCTGTCCCTGGTGATGCAGGGCAGTGTGTCCAGAGCTGCTCTGCTCTAGCCCCTGGCATCACTGGTGCTCACTTGTCCTTAGAAGTAGGACTTACCACGAGGCATCCTGGGCTGGAGTTTCTAGAGATATTTGGAGAACAAATAAGACCCCTCGACAACCCCACATATTTCTGATGCAAACCGTGATGTAGGTTGTGTCTACAGGATGAGCTGATGGGACTCTGGCTCAGGCACACCTGGTTGAGATACTAGCTCTGCAGCATTCCTGACTTTCACCCTTTGAGCAAGGTACTCAGCCTGGCTTCAGCTTTGGTAAATGTAAAAGGAAAGGAGTAAGGTGGTACCTCGTGGGCTCGCCATGAAGATTATATATAGGTAAGGTCTGTAGCACAGTGCCGGGCATGCAGTAGATACATCGAGACTCTCAAAATGTTCAGTTATTATTATGTAAAAGATGGCCACATACTAACACATCTGAACAGTGACTGGACACAGAGCTGACTTATTTTTCGAAGAAGTTCCCTAATTCATCAGTCTGGCACCTACTGAGAGGGAGAAGAGAGAATCCACTCTGAACTTCCATATCTTATTACAGGTGCCTTTGTTAGAAATATAATAAGGACCCAGTGTGCAATGAGGACCAGGTCACACAGGGCGCTGGGAGTCAAGGCATTATCTTTTAAGAAGAGGAAGCACAGTGGCAGTGATGGGGCTGAAAGAAGTATCAAGTTAATCTTGTCTTTCATTGTCCCTTCCTGTGGCAAAGTCTGACAGACTCTAGATTTGCGGTCATGGAGCAATATGAGAAACTTTAAATGATTTGTTGTCCAGGTTACAGGTAACTAAATGGAAGGATTTAGAAACCGTAACAGAAGTATATTTGAAATACTCATGTACTAGTTGGAGACTCATCTCACCCCATCTCTGTCCTCCTTTCTAAGGTTCACAGGAGGAAATCTTATTTTATTACCAGCAGTCATGTTATAGGATGCCAAAGTTCTATTCTCAGACCCCATGGGATCTGATATAATCTCATTCATATAAGGAATTGCAGACATTGTGGCATGATTGAGAACCTAGCTAAATCTCATCATGCAGTTCAGAATTGAATGTATCTGAAATAAGGAGATGTGGGTTGGTTTGAGACTTCATTTGAGCAGAATTGAACTGTTGGAAAAGGGCACAGTCTGGATAGTTGGAAATCTAAGTGGCCTGGAGATACCATTTTCCTATATTTTATTTTTATTTTTATCACATGCTAGGTGAGAAAAAATCAGAGCAGGTGTAGACCTTGTGCTCTAGACATGCGTGACTGAAAAAATGCCAGCACTAATCATACGTGGCAGGCCCTGTGCAGAATGCTTCACTAGTTTTACCTGATGTGATCTTCACGAGGATGGTATGGTGTCATTTTGCAGCCGGGGAACCTAAGGTCCAGGAAGATTATAATCTGATCCCAGTTATATTACTAATAAGTGGCAGAGCTGGACTCAGAGTCAGAGCTGCTTGTCCCCAGCCCGAGTTCCTCACCAGGACGCCTGTGACTCATAAGTAGGAGGAGGAAAGGAGGAGACTGATCTTAGCCTGTTTTCAAACCAGTTGGTTTGAGATTAAGGAAGGGAAGTCACGTGTACAGTGTGGAGCAGCAACTGCGTACGGCCATGGACTCCTCGATTCAGGTGGGTTCTCCAGACCCACCACTGACTCTTGTGAGGCCCAGGGCAAGAGTACAGATGAACCACATATCATATGTGGGATAGCAAGCTAATAAACCAAAATATATTCAGTTCTCCTATGCTGACAAATAGACCTTCATAACCGCTTGGAGTTCCTGCAGAAACGTGGAGGCCTTGGGAGACTTGCCTCTGGCCTGCAGGCTTCCTTGCTTCTCTTCTCACTGCTGGCTCTGTCCTGCATTGTGAAGAGTCTTGTGCATACACGTGTGTGGACACTCCTGTCTGTATGTTCAAGCTCCAAACAGCCACCCGTTGGCTACCCTTCAGGTCAAGGATTGCTTACACTGATGGCACGGACAGCCCTCAAGAGGACGGACCCAGGAAAGAAGCCTGTGCAGACCCCGAAAGTGGGTGTGGGGCATGGGGGGCAGGGAATTCTGGAGTCCTAGGTACTAGGACCCTGGTCAGGAGTGTGGGGTGTGGACTCGGGGGTTCATGAATGCAGACTGAACACCCTGCGGGGCGGGTGCAGCAGGAAGAGCGCCAGGGCCCCCTTCTTGGCCCCAGAGCCACACTGGGGGCCTGGGCACTGGTGCTCTGTTAGAGAAGGCTTGGAGGCAGATTTGAGATCTGTGCAACTGGTGGGAAACTGGGCCAGTTTCCACTCCTTAAGGTAGTGGCTCTTACCTCTGCAGGCTCCTGACCTTTCGTATGAGCAGCATGCTGTCATCAGTAACTTCCAGAAGGTACAGCAATTCTCATGAGGGTTCCTATCAAAGTCTGCGGCCAAGGCCCGGGGAGGAGGTGTGTGGTTTCTGAAAAGGCTCTGTGTAGGTCCTGCTGTGCCATCGTAGGGGGCGCCACCATGTCCCCTGGGAGAGGCCTTAAGTGCCTTCACCTGCCTGTGGAGAAATGCTGAGCACATCACCTCTGCAATAGCATCTCTTTAAATTTTAAATCCAGGAATTATGCTCCGAGGACCTCTTCAAAAGAAATTACTTTCCAGCTCGATTTCATGCTGCCACTTTAATTTCGTCACAGTGGTGCATGGCAGGTCAAGGGCCCATCAGCCATGGAGGTGCCAGTCAGATGCAGCCGCAGCCACAGCCGCCACAGAAACAGCCCAACGTGCCAGAAGCCCAAGTCCTCAAGTTCAACCAGGGAAGAGGTATGAGTCTAATTTTAGGTACTAATAAGGATTTCGGTTTATTGATGCAAACACCAGTGATGCAGGCTCCTAGGAGGAGCGGTGCTGGGGAAACGCAGTATTGAGGAGCAGTGTGATTGTCCTGGCTTCCTTTAAACAGCTGTTAAACTATTAACCGGATTTCACTCTCCTCTCCCCCACCTTAGGGCTTTTCATTTTTTTTTGAATTTTTACAAATTTAAAAATCATCTATTATTTATTTTCCAGCTTTATTGAGGTACAGTTGACACAGAAAAATCCCACAGGGCTTTTGTTAAAGGACATGGAGTTGAGTACAAACAGTATGCAAATCATTAGGAATTTAGTTCTGGAATATGTCACGTAGCACAAATTCTGTATATGCTGGAAATGTATTTATGAACATAACACAATCGTACCTATGAAACCTATGTCCGATGTAGGATCGAGAATAACTAATCTACCAAGATTTTCTGTAGTAAACTCTACCTTTGTTTTTCATCTGTTAGCACAGTGAACATAATTGTAAGTGACATAATGTGATGTGTAATTTACTGAAGAAATAAAGTACCTGTTTCATACCTTGCTGCTGCCGTCTGCGGGCAGATGTCAGCAGGCATGGCACTGTTGTGAGTATCCTCTTTCGTTACAGAAGCCACAGCTGTTCTCAGGTCTTCCTCTGGCACAGAGGCAAGAAAAGACTGTAAAGAACAATTATTTAAATGAGTGCATAAATAGAAATACCACACTTTAGCACTAAACAGAGTGAAAGAAAGAAAGAAGCTATGAACTATTTAATGCATTGATCTTTCTGGTAGACCAGATGTTCTGTGAAAGTCATACAGCTATGAAAATAAAATAGTCCTATTTCGTGTTTGTTATATTTCATAGTGTGACCAAGGGTACATTGATTGAATACTAAGTAAACTGAGGTTTGCAGGGGATAGGGCATTAGGGTTGGAACCCCAAATCATCTTCTTTCAACTCTCTGGCCTCCTAAAACGTCGAATCTGGCAAGGAAGAGAGGAAGCGCAGACGCTGTCTCAGGTCAGGCGTGCTGAGCGGGGCGCCATTCCCACTCGTCCCCACGGCCCCTCTTTGCTCACCTCAGCCATAGTGCAAAGTATGTTAAGTACTGAGGGCACTTGGTTTAACCCGAAGAACTGATTCTACATGGAGCCCTGGAAAAAAATTATTTCATTATTATTTTATCTTATTGGCAAAAGTCAATTATATAAATAGTGTTAATATTAAATTATTAAAATTTAATAAAAATCTAAAAATAGAAATTTTATTAAGTAACTATTATATTTATACAAAAGAAAGGCATTCATTTTAGAAAATAGCGACAAAAGATTTTTAAAAATTACATAATCTCACCATACAGTATTTTGTCTCTATATCTGTATCTTAATATTCATTCAGTATATATTTACCAAAATGTGACAATACTGTATATATTTTTATAACTTTCTCTTTAATAATATGTCACCATATAAATATAATTATTCTACATTATTTTAATAATTTGAGGGTATTTTGTTAAATCATTATCTGGTCCCATATTATGAGGCACATAGATTATTTATAGTTTTTAGAGATTAGAAATGATGACATAGTGAGTATCTTTGTGAGTCATTCTGATGCTAGACCTCACGAAGGCATCGTGCTGCTTTGTGCTTGTACTAGACTAGACATTACTAGGCTAATACCCTAGTAGACCAGGGGTCAGTAAACTTGTCTGTAAAGGGCTAGATAGTAAGTTTTTTAGGCTTTTGGGGTCTCTCTTGCTGGTATCCAACTCTGTTGTTGTAATGTGGTAGCATCCACAGATAATAGGTAAACAAGTAAACTATGTTCCAATAAAATTTTATTTACAAAACAAACATGGGGGCAGGGTCCAAATTTGGTACATGGATTGTGGTTTGCCAAACCATGTGTTAGAGGCAGCATAGATCCTCAGGCCATTTACATCTTGTAGGTTTAATGAAGAGCAGGGATTCATTTTTCTTATTCTAATACTGACTATATACAGTAGAATAGTATTCTATTAATTGACAAGCTAAGTTTCTGTTACGGATCATTAATAGTTTAAAAAAAACTTACATTTTGAGAATTCTAGAATATAAAAATGGCAAAACGTTGAAACCTTTTCAAGTGAGAAATTTTAAATATTTTTTCGCTGTATACATGTTTATGTTCAAACAAAGGGAACTTGGCCGTTCAGACCTTGGTCTCAGATGTGCTCTGTCTAGAGGGATGAAGAGACAGACCCTCAACTGAAGCTTTGTACTTCACATTCTGGAAAAGGGATATCGGACTAGGGCTTACTAATGCACCATTCATCATGCATAACACAGTTTTGAATGATGTGCATGTGTATTTAGGTATTTTCAAATCGTGTGCACCTCATGTATAAGATCAGCATGGTTTGCAAAACATGGGTTTGCAGGGCAAGGTCGTGTCCCATTTTAAGCCACTGTTGTTTTAAGCTCAGGTGTAGATGAAAAACAGTTCGAAATCCCGTTTGCACATTGATACCCTCTGTGGCTTAGGTGGGTCTCTTAGCCTGGGGTTTCTTAACCACTCATCTGTGAACTGGCAGCAATCCATGGAAAAATGCACTTAATTTATTGTGAGTCACATATTGTGAGAGTAAAAGATAGGATCCCAAGAGAACACTGGTGGTCTGAGTAGAAAGATTAAGGGAATATTACAGTTTCGCAATATAATGAATCTGGAATTTTCAGGTGTCAAGAAAAGAAAGCCTAACACGTTTGTTAATTCATTGATAGGACTTCGGGTCGGAGGGGATGGGAAAGTTATAGAACAAGATGCCTGCAGTGTAATTCGTGGTTTAATAAAAAGGAAATTCGACGCCCTTCCTCTGACACAGTGGTCTCTACAGAGGACAGGGGACCTTTTTGCCCCTCAGGACATATTTGGCAACGTCTAGAGACATTTTTGGTTGTCACAACTGGGGTAGGGTGTGTGCTATTGCCAGCTAGTACGTGGAGGCCAGGGATGCTATGAACCTCTGCGTGCACAGGACAGCCTTCCACTACCAAGGTTACCCAGCCGCAAATGCCAGCCATGCTGAGGCCAGGAAACTCTGATACAAGGTAGTGATGTGGAAAATGAACTTAGTTAATTTTTATAATGGGGTCTGGATGAGAAAAATCTCTGATTACATTGTAATGCAGCATTTCCCTTTCCCCAGGATTTGGTTCTGATTTTGAAAATTTAGGCTGAGGATTCACATTTCACCTACAGTATGCTTGGTCAAGGAGACAGTCTCCACCTGTATAAATTTGACACACACTGCTGTCTAACATTGCCAAATGTTGTTAACAGTTGTATAAAAATTGCGATTAAACTGTCATCATAGTATCATTAGTTTTAGAACACATTAAGAATAGTTTTCCAAACAAGAGCCATCTCAGCAGGATTGGTTTAGTCACTACAGTAGCTAGAGGTGGTCTGGATGTAGATTTACAAAGTGCATTCTTGATAATGGTGTTTTAGATAAACCTCAGTCTAGTTATTTCTCAGCTGCTTTATGAAGAGTGACAGGAGAGTATGTCCATACAATGGAATATTATCCAGCCACAAAAAAGAAGTACTGATGTATGCTACAGCATGAATTAATCTTGAAAATTTCATGCTAAGTGAAAGAAGCCAGACACAAAAGGCCACATACTACATAATTCTGTTTCTGTGAAATGTCCTAAGTAGGCAAATCCATAGATCCAGAAAGTAGATTAATGGCTGCCAAGGGGGTGGGGGAGGTTGGAGCAGGGTGGCTCTAATGGGTATGAGGTTTCTTTTTGGGGTGATGAAAACATTCAGGACTTAGATACTTGTGATGGTCTCGTAACCTTGTGACTATATTAAAAACCACGGATTGTACAGTTTAAAATGGCAAATTTTATATTATATGAATTATATCTAAATTTTCTTTAAATTGAAAAAAAATGGAAGAAACACTCCTGCTTGCCTTAGTTTCCCCCCACCTGCAGACTCTTGCACTGCCATCACATGGCTCCCCATTCATGGGAACACACAGGCCTCCAGTTATTCGTCCTGTCTCAGCCTCTGACTTCATAGTTGCGGGTTCTGGTCATGGTTTTCTGGCGGCTCCCGGAAGCCTGCGGGATGCAGTTGGTTCTGCTCTGACTCCACCTTGACCCCTGGTGGGTTTAGGAATAGAGAACCCTTCCCATCCTGGCCTGGCTCACTTTGGGCTGTGTCAACTATAAATCGCTTTGGATTTTAGAAATTTATATTTTTGTATAGTCTTATTGTTTTTTGTTGTTTTTTTTTTAAATTTCTCAGATGCTGTTTTACCTAAAACTTATGGAGTTTTCGTTTTCATTTTGCTTCTTCTTGCTTGTTGGGTGCTTGGTTCTTTAGCTTGAGACTAATTTGAATTAATTAGAGCAGTTTCTTACAGGAATTACTTAAGCAGTGGATTTAGATGAAGGATGGAGAGGTGAGAGTAGAGTGAGAAATGTAGTTTATCATAGCAGGAGACACTGAAGAAGGAGTAAAGGCAAGTGCTGGAAAAGGAAGCAGAGTAGCAAGAAATAATTTGTCAGTAATTAATAATCATCTAAAAAGAAGAGATCAGAGTGAGACATGGCCTGGTACTAAACTCTGGAGGTTTAAAATTATAGGGAAACCCAAGGTGTCTCTGTATAATAGAACTTACTGTGTGCACCAAATCATGCAAGGACAGCTACATTCCCATTTAATTCTCAGCACAACCTTTTGAGGCAGGCGGTGGCCTCTCTACTTTACTGATGAGGAAACTGAGGTTTGGAGAGATCAGATAACCTGTGTTTTCATGTGTATTTATAAGGCTCTCAGATGAAGAGATGCTTCATCGTCAGGACAATTTTAGGTTTATACCTTGATTCTCAGTCCCCAAAGAATGGAATCTTTGTTCAGGGCTGATAGTTTAATAGAGAAATATTTTGAGCCCAGTTGAAGACCAGTGCCATGGATGAAGGTCGCGGTCTGAGCTGGGACCGTGCAGAACTGGAGGCCTCGTGAGTCCCCAGATAAATAGATGGACGGCAGTGAACAGGTCTGTGGGTTTTTACATTTGCATCAAACAAATAAGATGAGAGTTTGCTAGCCAAACCAAAATTCTACCCGAGAGGAAACTAAAAAGTGTTACAAATCAACTGTTGCATTTTGTCTTACGTAGGACGCCGAAAACTGGAATATTGATGCTAAACATGGGAGGCCCCGAAACCCTTGGAGAAGTTTACAACTTTCTCCTGAGGCTCTTCTTGGACCGGGACCTCATGACGCTGCCTATTCAAGAGTAAGTTACCTGTGACACCCGCACTTATTCGTAACTTGTGCAATGCGTTTGCCTTACGTGTATCTCAGTTCTGTAGTTTCAAAAAAATAAATGGTTATAACGCATATGTGGTAGTGGCTAGGGCAGCGTTATGATTCTCCATTGGATATAAGGAAGATATGGTAATGGAAGAATTGCAAGGGGGAGAGAAAGCAAGTCCGTGAGTGTTCTCCTTGAGCCCTGTCCTCCCAGAGCTCTGGAAACTGCAGCTGTCCTGACCCAGCTGAGGTACCTTGGAAGATCTTTAGAGATAAATTTGTTCCTGGCACTTAACAGCTGAGTGTTAATCAGGGAAGCTGTGACTGCTTATTCATTTGCACTGTGAATATGGATTATTGCCGTCTTCTTCCTTGCATCCTCCCTCCTTCTTTTCCTCCTTTTTTATTTTTTAGGCGAGGTAACCCTTGGTTGACCTCACAGATTGCAAGGACCTTGTCAGTTTATAATCTCTTATTTTTTTAATTTTTTACACCTACAGCACCTGGTCTTCCTAGGTGGTCTCCCATCCCAGATTATATAGATTTCATTCATTTTTTTCATGACCGTAAAGAATTGCATGGTATGGTTGTGCCTTAATTTATTTAACCAGTGCCTCGCTGTGGATCTTTAGGTCGTTTACACTGTTACAGTGAACATTCTTGTGCATGTTACACCTTTGCTCACACATGCAAATGTATGGGATTAATGTACATTTTCTTAATTGGGAGGAGTATATGCTTCCTAACGTCTTGTATCCCAGCTCCTGCCAGCCGCAGGACCAGGTGTTAAGACAGGAACTAGCACACACCCAAGGCCTCCTCACGGGTGTGTGTTGTGCCGGATCTCGGATCTTGCCTCCGGAGGAACAACTCGTGGGGCAGAGGTGGCTGCCCCTCCCTAGAGTATCTCGTTTTCTCTCTCTAATCTAGGCCGGAAGAACTGGCCATTGTCAGTGACCCCAAGCTTTACTTTTTAAAGGCTCGATCTTGTTAGGCTCTTTTAAAATTTTTGCTTATCCTTTTTTTTTAATCGAGTAAAAAATGTGTCTGAGTTGCTAAGATGGAATAAAATCCACTTACCTACACGTTAAATGCTTTAGTAAGCTGGCACCAATCATCGCCAAACGCCGAACCCCCAGAATTCAGGAGCAGTACCGCAGGATCGGAGGCGGATCCCCCATCAAGATGTGGACTTCCAAGCAAGGAGAAGGCATGGTGAAGCTGCTGGATGAGTTGTCCCCGCACACAGGTACGGTGTTTCTCAATTAACGGCCCACTAGATTTGCTCTAGTTATAAAATTCGAAACACTCTTGGACGCCTAACGTAGTTCTGTGTCTTGACTGGTCTCGATTTGTGCAGTTCCTGTGTGATGCATGGTCACTTAACTTAGCTCTCGAGGCCTTATTCTTCATCCTGGCTGTAGAACCTTTTCTATTATTTCCTTACATTACAAATAAAACAGCTAAAGATTTGGAACATTCGTTTCCAAAGGAAGTTTGAAGTATGTGTTAAGTTGAGCTAGATTCTAAAGGGCTGTATACCATGAATAAAAGAGGCATATATCACTGCTCTAGAAAGAAATTTGGGGGGAATGCTGCTATTGTCTTTTCTTACCGTGTGGATAGCTATTTAGATCAACATTTAGAACAGAGCTAGCTGTCGTGCAGCCGTGAGACTCTTAAGCAACTTTCGGCAACTGCTTTCACCTCTTGGCAATACCATTGTTGTGAGGCACGTAAGGGCCTTGTCAGATGTGTCACCAAAAAGAGGGTTGCACACATCTGGCAGCTGTCCTCTGAGAACCCCCGACACGGAATGATGATGTGCAGCATCGAACACTGACTGCACGAACGAAATGTTCAGTGCCGTATTTAATAGCATTCAAGAGACCATCGATTGTAGGACGTACCGTTGTTTTTATGTAATTCTAAGACACACACACACATAAAAAAAAACTGCCTGTTAATTTTAAGATAGCATCTGTTGTAGGTGTGGACCAATATGAGAAATGTTAAAACAGAAAATGTGCGTCTTAGGACACGCGAAGTATATTAATGGCAGATACATTTTAGGGCTTCAGGATCAGGAATGTGATGCAGTGGGGACCCTCAACGAGAGCAGCCCTGCTAGGCACGAACACCAGCATTTCACTCTTCTCTGAGAGGACACCACTGAGCGTCGACTCGAGCTGCTCTCAGAAGCCAGTCTCCCATCACACACAAATAGGGACAAAGGGCTCTCTAGCCCCCAGCAGATCATCTCACTTGGAAAATTGCTCAGTTGTGCTTCTGAATGTTAGATTTGCTTTCTGCCTTCACGTGTGGCTCAAGGGCATTCCTTACACAGTTCAGCCACACGTGCCACAGTGTGTCTTTTAAAATGCTGGGTCAGCGAGACTTGGCTGATCTCTACTCACACCTACTTGATAGAGAACAAAGTCTCTTGTCATCAGCCGTTTATCACGATAAAACGTTTAGTGTGAATCAGATCTGCAGCTGTTACTCTGTCTTCAGGAAGAAGTGGAGGGATGCTGTTTGTTTCTGTTGACGTGTTAGTATAGTACCCATCACCACAAAGGGCCCCAGTAGAGCTGTCAGACTTGAAAAAGGAATTTAGATGGAGGGCACCCGGGAAAGATTGGCCCAGAAAGAGTCCCATGGAATGATGTGAATTTAACTCAGTGTTTCACTTGCTAGCAAACATCTGATCATTTTAACATGTGGCCATTTAGTACAGAGGGAGGAAGTTACAAGTACCTAGATTCTAGGATTAATTATTCCCTGCGTTGGTAGGAACTAAAGAATAATAATACCCACTCCTTATTTTCAGAGTCAAAATTGTTGGAAGAGTCTTTGAAACCTTCCATCTTGTAGAGACTTATATGGGGAAAAAGAAGCCTATTATTCTTCATTATAACTCTGGGGACAAGTTTAGGGTATCCATGAAGCACAAATCAGCTCAGTGGCTTGTCTGTCCCACCACGACATCATAATGTGACAGGAAATCATCTTTCCTCCTTGTTTCATTCACTCGCCCATTTGATCACTCACCCACTCTTACAGCCATTAATCCCCACATCCATCCATTCTTCCTCTAACCTACATCAGAGATTCATGATGACCACATGCCAGGTATAGTGATGAGGGGTAAAGTAGGGACTAAGTTACGCCCTTACCTTCGTGGAGCAACATTCTTACTAGTCTTCACAGAGGCAGGGGGTGATTATCTTGGGTGCAACTTTTGGTTTTTCTGGATCTTGGAAGCTTGTCCGGGGCCCCGTCCTGGGAGGGTTTTTATCCTGATGCCCCTTTGGCATATCTCCATCCTCTGTGGCCCACAGTTGGCACCCTCTGATGCCAGCAAGTTAAATTATTGTTTTCTTCTGCGTGGTAAGTGACACCTAGTCATTTCAGCAGGCCTAGTGGCAGGGTATGATAGTGGTGTTTAATAGGGCCCAAGACCACCCACTCATTCATTCATCAGTGACCCATCGCGTGCCCTGCACTGTGCGATGCTGCTATTCAAAGTTGAAAAACATGGTTTCTACTTACATGAAGCTTCTAGCCTAGTGGACCACTGCTGCTGCAGACCAGTCTGCTTGAGGGGTGGAGAGAACATCTTTTGAAGACCTATTGGGGTCATGCTCAGTAAAACGTGTATGAGGGCTGGTGATCACGCAGAGTGTGGAATGGGAAATTGGAATAGTCTCAAGGTCTGGCAGTATTTTTGAGACCAAGATGATCCCCAGGCGTGCCTCTCCGCCTCCAGCAGATGCTCAGCCAGTTGCCTGGGAGAAAGTTCCTTGTCCTACTCACGCTTCACTGAGCGGACCGGAAGCTCGGCAGTGAAGACCCAGGAGCCTTTGGGTGGGGAGAGCAGTCAGTTCCCTCCCTCACTTTATGCTGCTTTTCCTTCCCGCTTTCTGGTTTCTTTGTTTCTCTGTTCATCTCTTTCTCATTTCTATTTTCTTCTTCTACTTTTTTTTTTCCTGCAGAATTATAAAGTTTATAATTTTGAGCTATGTCCATTTCTGTTTAGAAAAATTCTCTTTAGGCAAAAAAAAAAAAAAGTATGAAGATTGCAGACAGATAGAAAAATATTTTTGTGCTCTCACTTTTTTAGGGAAATAGTTGTCGCTTGATAGCCTGTATAGAAATTTTGAGACTTGCACTGTCTTCACATAGTATTGACTGTTAACTTATATTCTGTGTTATGTGAAACGAATATAACTTGGAATTGGTTTTAGATAGTTACACCACATTATAGTAATTTAGGGAATCCAGAAGGAAGTAGATGCAAAGTGTAATCATTTCATGAAAATTCTAAATCTGAAATACATTAAAAAAATTATAGTTTAGTTACGTAGACTCACTGCTTTCAGTGAAGCTGAAGAAAGTGCTACTGAGTAAAATAATTCTGTTCTTTCTAGGGTGTGTGATGGGGAGGAAGGAGCGATGGGTCTTACAGACGGAGCTGGCTTCTCCGGTCCTGGCTGTTTGACTTCAGGCAGATTGCTTACCCCATATAACATTGGAGATGTTAACAGAACCCACTCCTAGGATCATTGTGAATGTTAAATAAAATAATCTGGAAAGGCATTAGCATGGCTTGTAGTAGATGACAAACATTCAATAACCGTAAGCTTTTATTTGTCTTTGGCATAGGGTTCATGATCTGATGCAAATTAAAAAGCATTGTGCTCTATGTTTCACACCTTTCTCTCAAAGTCATGTACAAATCAGACATTCGAACTATTATACATGCTACATTAATGGACTAGAACTGTTCTGCTGTTTAAAAATCCAGTTTCTCCTCATTCTCACCACGGAGTGCTCGCCGGGCAGCGGCTCCGAGGGCAGAGGAGGCTAGGCCATGGAGTCCCGTGTTTCGGGCCTGCGGGGGCAGGCGTGGTGCTGGTTAGCCCAGGAGGCTCTCCGCCCCCTGTGTTCCTGCTGCAGCCGCCAGCGCAGTGTGAAATCCATCCTGACCCCCACAGAACCTTCCCGAACTCTTGTTACTTCCTCGGGAGAGGTCTAGTCGGAGAGCACACATTGTCGTTTTTTCTAAATGTGTTTTTGTAAGCCATCTTCACGCCAACGGTTAAGCAAAGCTTATCTGTACTTTGCAGAATATTTTCCTCTCCCACTTCAAAACGTGGACCCCACCCTGCCTTTATCTGCAAGGGCAGCCTCTCCACTTCCCTTAGTCAGCAGTGCCGAGGAACTCCCAGATCCCGGGCATTTAGGCTGCATCTTTTCAAAGGTGGAAAGAAAATGTGAGAAGCTAGTTGGCCCACAGCAGTGGGGGATCTTACTATGTCAATCTGATAATAGTATCGTCTCAAAATAGATTGGAAAGCACATTCCACCTCAGCACCAAGAGCACCTTAAAAATGGACTTGTTGATATTGTGATAGTTGGCAGTTTTACGATGAGCCACATAATCTTTGAACAGTCATTTGGAGTTTGCTCGCCGAGTCAAGTTCTCTGGTATGTTTTAACTGCAGCTGACCATATTTTATGCAAGAGAACATAAAATTGGTGACTTAGAAGGCATAGAGCTAAAAATGATTCCGTTTGTTCCCTTTTCTTCCTCTTTTTGTGGTCTCCAACCAGAGAATATCGAATCAGACCATCTTTCCCATATACATACATGCTTCTCTCTCTTTTCAGTATTCTGCTTCTAAGTGGCATGCTTCATTTGGTTTGATTCATCATTTTCTGGGTCAGATTATTGAGGAATTTTGTGTGTGTGTGAGTGTGTGTGTATAAACAATAAATGCATTTATCTTTTCTTTCACTTTGACCTAAATGTTTTTTTATGTGGCAATTTAGTGTCACATTTTTAGTTGTTGCCGCTGCTAATGGTTGGACAGTAACATCGTCTCAGCTTACTGTTACTTAGTATTTATGTAGCATCTTCTCAGTATCATCCCTGAGTATAAGTTAAGTGTAATCCCATGACAGGATAGGAAACAAGACTGGGTAACCTTAGGAAACGTTCAGTTTTATGATTTTATAAATGCCTAAGAAATTATGTGGTTGCGGGTGCTTTTAAAATACAGGAGGAGCTAGAAGAGGGAGTTGGTAAAGCGATGGAGGAAGGATCACAAAGATATATGGCTGACTTGGCTCATTCAGGTGCCAGGAACAGTTATTATAAATCCCAGTCGGCGCCTCCAATTTAAACATTGTTGTTGGCTTTTTTTTTTTTTTTCATATACTAAGTGAGGAGAATCATTTCAATCATTTGTTCTCAATGAACTTATATTGAGTGTCCCAGAGCTTTTGTGTAAACCAGGTGACCTGGGGTGTGAGGGCATTGGAGGAGGGGACTCCGGGGGTGGAAGCAGGCGGGGGTGTGGAGGGAACACGGGCTCTGGGATGGGGAAGGCCCGTTGTAATTTCAGCTGGACCATCTGCTGGTGTGACTTTGAGCAGGTTCATTAACCTTTGAGAGCTTCTGTTTCCCTGTCTCAACAGCGAGGTATAATGAGTGAGGAGGAGAAAAAGCCAAGTGTCTACCATGGTGTCTCGTACGTGAGAGTAGCTGACACTTTAAGAATTAGGCACAGAAGCTCGAGTTTTAAAAAAAAACCATTGTGCCAAGTAAAGGTGTGTGTATGTGAGAGGGGAAATTGGTCCTGAAAATAGTGATTAAACATCCATGCACTGGCTGGAGACTGGATAAGGTCCAAGGAATATTCTCAGCTCTCCCACATTATCAGCACTGTAGGAAATTAGGTTAACTACTCTTTTTTCTGGACATTGCATTACGTTTGGCGACTGAGGAATCTGTATAAAGATTAATACTTTCTCCTTTCCACACATGCTTCCTAACAGCCCCTCACAAATACTATATTGGATTCCGGTATGTCCATCCTTTAACAGAAGAAGCAATTGAAGAGATGGAGAGAGACGGGCTTGAAAGGGCTATTGCTTTCACGCAGTACCCACAGTACAGCTGCTCTACCACAGGTAAGGGCTTCTCTTTGACAGTTGGAGGGTGGGCCCGTGGCAAAAATAACAGGGAACCTGAGTGTGGAGGGAAAGGATAAATCATTTGTGATTTGAATGCAAATCCATCCCGTCTCCTTTCAACACGAGAGTTCAGGTCAGTCCACTTGAAATCTCATGGTTCATCTGTCCCTTGAGTTATTGGCCAATTGGCTGAGAATTACAAATGGTGGGTGGCAGGCGGTAGCTGCTGGTGTTCAGTGCTTTAATGCAGTTGCATAATGGATCAGTAATGAACCTTAAGCCACTTTATATGTTTGTATAATAAACCTTATTTTTATGGCTACCTTAATAGTCTTGTTAATGTAGCTAAGGTGATTGCTATTTCCATTTTGAAAGCAGAAGTGCCCATATAACATTGGAAATATTCATATATTTTTTTTTGTTATGCTTCTGTTATGGGTTGGTTACTGGTTAACCCAAAGCCCAGTTTGAGTTTCCCTTTGGAAATTTAGTGTTCTAGATTTTGGAAAATATTATTGCATGTTATTTTCTATATGTTTAACTGCAGCAGGAGAATAATCTATGTTTGCCAATCCCTGTCCCATCGATTGTAGGTAAAGCTTCTACTGTTAGGCACAAATACATTCATTTGTTTTCTATTTCTATTATATCAAGGTCAGCACATTTTTACTCAAATTCCTTTTGGATATTAGTGTGTATTATTATTCTATAACTGTAAGGAGAAACAAAAGGCTGCTGGAAAATATATTCAAATCCTGTTGTTTGTGTGCCTTACGTATTTGTTCTGAGCACCTGTGAAAATGCCTGAGTTCTCAGACACCCTCAGGAGTTTGAATTGTGATTTCTTTTGGAAATGTTCCTCTATGATTTCAAAATGTCTGATAATATGTTATTGCAGAATGAATCAGATTTTATAAATTTCTAAGCTATGCTTTTTCCTTACTTTAAAAAATATTTCTCAATATGTGATGTCTGCTCTCAAAATTAGACAAGAAGATGGTTGTTTACGTAACAAAGGGTGACGACGGGTTTCATTTCACAGCTGGCTCTGTCAGTGTGCTCAAAATGTCATTGTCTGTGCAGTCTTGGCCCAGTGCGTGTCACGTGTAAGGGCAGGTACATCTTCACTTTAGAGATGTGAAAACCTTCAGGAAGCACATTAGTTCTTTGAGGCCACTAAGGATCGTTTATTACATCTTTTAGACACACATTGTGGCAGAGCCAGTATATTCTGTGTATCAGTCACAGCAAGATTTTTAGTTGTAGTTTCCTCTTAATGACTACTTTTGGTAGGTCATGAAATGTTCCTGAGTGACCCAGAAGAACTAATGTGGCTTCCAGAAGTCCTGGCCTGGATCTTGTGTATCTGAAAATGATATTCACCTGTAAAATGTGGTTTGTAGTGTGACTATGGGGGTGACTACTTTGTGATTTCGGGAGAGATTGTTTTTGAACCTGGAATGGATTCAGTTTGGATTCATCTGATTCATTCTGTTCTACTCATCAAAGTGGAACTCATTTATTTTTTTGAAAGTTGAGTATGAGCCTTAGAGCACCACATTAGATTTAAATATGGCTCTGTCCTGACTAGCATTTTTTAAATTTGGTAACCTAACTGATTAATATTTCTCATAGAGAAGCCAGCAGATTGAAGCATGGGGATGTTTTGGAACTTTGGCCCTGCATTAAGATTGAGGGGGAGGCCCCATGTGCCCCATGTTAGGATTAAGGCTTGGCCCCTGTGCCAGCCCCACCTAGGCCAGGATCCAGTTGCATTGAGTTGGTACCCTTTACCTTCCTGTAGGCTTTGAATTTTCATCATTTCCATCTCTTTATTTAGAAATACAGATTTTTGTTAGATTACCTAACAAATGATATCCATCTATTTTATTCGAGGGAATGATGATGATTTTGTAGAAGCAGTTAAAAATAGAATGTGCTTACAGAAACCTCAATAAGCTACTCTTTCTTATCGACAGGCCCTTAGAAAGGATGGCTATAAATCTTTTATTGTAATGTGGGAAATAGTTATCTCATAATATTAAGTGAAAATGCCCAAAATACTCAGGTTACAAAATTGCACATATACCGAAAGTTAGAACTTTGTAAAACAAAACGGTTATAAAGAAAAATAATAATTGGAAAGAACTATGCTATAATAAAACAATGTTAGCATGCTGGGATAATGGCCATTTTCTTTTTTCCTTTCTTTCTCAGCCCTTACATTTTCTGTTATAGGGTTGATTACCTTAATAATGGGAAAAAAAATTTTTTTTTAATATGCTTTCAATTTTAAGACTTAGTCCCTGCAAACAACGACTGGTTATATTTCATAAATCCACTGCCATCCTGTTTCTCCCTAGAAATGACCTCAGCAGTCTTTGAAAGGCCATTGAAATTGATTGCTTTTTAGCGACCTTCGTTTGCAGGGTAGTTAAATCTATATGCATTTTAGAGTATTGAAATGATTGTAATTAGACTGATTCAGTATATAAGCAGATGTCTGTTTTGAACTTAAAATTACTGCCTTCACTAGTCTGTTTTTTGTTTTCACCATAATCAACATGCATTTACTGAGTGGCCCCTACTGTATATTTCAGGCAGCAGCTTAAATGCCATTTACAGATATTATAATGAAAAGGGAAAGAAGCCTATGATGAAGTGGAGCACAATTGACAGGTGGCCCACACATCCCCTCCTCATTCAGGTAAGCCAGCAACTACCAGTAGCCCGTCACCCCAGCTTCTGGTAGGGGTCAGATTCTTGTCCCTACCTGGTTTCCGGGTGTACTTCTGAGCTTCCCTGTTCTCTTGCTTAATTGTGTGCTAGGGATTAAAAAAAAAGTATTAGAGTCTTGATTTATTATGACAAGAGAAAATAAATGTAAAGATTAAAGGTGAGAATCTTTTCTTTCTTTAGATTAATACTGTCAGTCATAAACCATAGCAGAATTATATTTTGTTTCCCAGTCACCAGAATGTTAAAGATTATGCAAGGTGTTTCTGCTAATTTATATCCATAGATTGAATGACTGACAAATAAATCCTCTGTTTTCTAAATCTTTTAAAATGTCAAAAGATTTAAAAATTTTAAAGATAGTATATCTACATGTTCTGAGACATAAAATTTAACATTTTAATTGAGAAAGTTGAATGTATTAGAAGAAATTTCAGATTTCTCCTATACAATTTATATTGATATATTTATATTAATAGATGCTTGATTTTAGGAGAATCAGTTAAAACTACAATTCCAAAGCCAGTAGCTTCGAATTGGAGTTATTATATCCTTTTTTTGCCCTTTGAATATGAGCAGGCTATTGGTAATTGCCCTAAATCATGGAAATATAGTTTTGTTTTGCCAGTGAAAGTTATTTGAGTTAGTTTAGGTAGGAGAAATATTAAGTGATTTATTGTTCATCCAGTTTATGTTTCACTCCTTGGACATTCTCTGGCGAAATACCAGCTTAACACCCTTTTTAAAGCCTGGAGTCACTTAGAATCTGGAACCACTAGATGGGGCTAGACATCGTTGAAAGCAGGCCAGCTCCTCCTGGCGCAGACAATGACCCTCAGGCATGTAGATGGTGTCGAGGGTTAACCCTTAGGTTAAAATCCAATTTCAAGTGGAAAGTGAAGACACCTTTCCTGTGGGATGAGTATCGTTTTGGTCTCGTGTCCCCCCACCACTCGGCTCTGCTGTGGGGTCCCGTCGGTATCGCCGGAAGCCCCAGCGAGCCCTGACGGTTTTGCTCTTGGAGGCCTGTGATCAGAAACGAGGGGTGTTTCAGGTCAGCACTGACATGTGGTTACAGAGGACTGAGGGATCTGCGCAGCATCTGCCTGCCCTGATCCAGCGAGTGATTAGATTTGCATTAAAATTCAGCCCTTTGAAAAGGGGGGCGGCAGAAAGATGGAAAGGTCTCTTAACTGAGGAAGTCTCCGTTCATAAAATGAAAGGGAATCGTAGAGGCATTTATCTGGACGGTGTGATTGAAGGCTCTGAGAGCTGCCTGCCTCTTTCATTCTGCGGCGGGACTGCACGGAGAAAATACTGCAGATGGAGTTTAGACGATTCAAGCGGCACTTCTTGCCCAGGGCGCCTCAGTTTGGACGATGGCTTAGATTCTGTTGTAAGCCATGACAGATTGCGTTTGTGCTTGTAATTTTTCAAAATGAGAAAAAAATACCAAAATTTTTCAGAATCAAAGACTTACAGATTTTATTCTGAATATTAAGTAGATTACATGGAGAGATTTTATATCTAGCAGAAATAGAAAAAAAAAAACCCAGGCTAAACTAAAACTAAAAATATGATTAAAAACTAAAACTATACATATTTTGAATCTACATTTCTACTTATTATAGATAGTAATTATTCAGAATAGTCATTTTACTACTGTCATCTGGCTGTTGGAATAATTGAAGTAAATGAGCGTTCCTCCTTATGTAGGCTTTTGTCCAAAATAATCCTTTCTGAGCATCTTTAGTTTCCAAACACCGCAAAGGCCACCAGAAAATACTGTTTTTGTTGTATCTAATCCTATTACATTTACTCTATAAGTAAATCATATATTTTGAAAAGGGAACTGACTCTAGACACCGTGTTGTGCCATAGGGCATTTATTTATCAAATTTTGAAGGCTCTGGAAAGATTAATAATATCTCAATATTTATTGGGGGATAATTTGCTCATCCTTTGGGATTAACCAGTGATATATCCAAATGCCAAGTATAATTTTACATGGTTCTGGTAAGTTGTCCTTTATAATATTTTTATTTTTATTTTTTTATTTTTTATTTTTATTTATTTTTAGTTTTTTAGTTTTTAGAGTCAAAGGGAAAGTTTATTAGAAAAGGGATAACACTCCACAGACAGAGTGTGGTCTCCTCTCAGAGGCAGAGAGTGAGAGGAACAGTGCAAGAGACAGAGAGAGAGACAGAGAAAAGGGCCTGAGAGGGACCTATAATATTTTTAAAAACCTTTTTATTTGGAAATAATTTCAAACATGCAGAAAAGTTACAGGACTAAGAATAGTATAAGGAACTCTATTCTTTACCTAGATTCACATATTATTAACATTTATCTCTGAATGTATGTCTGTATATACATAAGATTTTTTGAACCTTTCGAGAATAAGTTTTATGTGTACATATATATATACACACGTATATATATAACAAAATCACCCTTTACACCTAAATAGCAGGAATATATTTCTTTCATAACCATGATACAATATCCAACTTCAGTAAATTTAACATTGATTAATTTATCTAATCTATGTTCATGTTAGAATTTTGTCCACTGACCCATTAATGTCCTTTGCAGCATTTGCTTTATAAGTGCAATGACAGAGAATGATTAAAGTGTAAGATGAAAGAAAGCCTCTTCAGATCTGGTATTTCAGCACCTATTGATGTGAATCAGAAAGTGCCAAGTAGACGAAGGCATTAACTGGTCTGGTGGACAGAGATTTGGGGGAGAAGGCGGGGTCTGTGCGTAGCCAGGTTCCACAGATGTGCCTGAACGAGCCCCCGAGTCTGCGCGTCTTTCCCCACTCTGTGAATTTAATGAGAGTTGTACAACCCCTCATCTGTTGTGATGAAGGTTGTTCCAAAGAATGACTCAGTGAGGATAGTGAGCTCGGAAGGAAAAGGTCATAAAAATAGATAGTATTTTCTTATTCCTCTACTATTTCTGTCTAATGTATTTTAATGCGATGTGCCTGAAAGCCAAACTAAGGGGATTTAGAAAGACCCTGTAAGCTGTTTTCCTGCTAACCGAGCAAATGAGAGGTCTTAAAACAACTTCTCCTTCCCATCTGTGTTTCCTTTCCATCTGGAAGTGTGCCCTGTTCCTCCCGCGGGGAGGCAGATCCAGAGCGTTCATTTTCAGTGAGCCATTAGTGAGCTTTAGAAGTTTCCCATCAAATTCCCTAGGCCCCTGAAACCGTTATGAGCCATTTTGATGATGAACCAAAGCAAGAGAGACTGTACTGTTTGCAGTTTTTCAAAAAGAGTTCCAATTTCTGAGGATTGCACTGAGATTTTTGGTGTAGCTCTTATTTTTAAAAGGTTGTCTTTTCTTTCCATTTCTTTCCTCCCACTGCCTTCTGATCCCCTTTTCTTGGTGTTCCCACAGTGCTTTGCAGACCACATTCTGAAAGAACTGGACCATTTTCCACTGGAGAAGAGAAGCGAGGTGGTCATTCTTTTTTCGGCTCACTCACTGCCAATGTCCGTAAGTGAGAACATTTTGTCGGATGACCCCGTGGTAGGAGATTTCTAAGTGTGTAACATGGACCCAGCTTCTACAATGTCCTGACCCCAGTGCAAGGATGAATTCTAAATCTCAGACTTAACGTGGTACTCATTTAACTCGACTCACTTCTTGAAACCTAATAACTCATTCAAATTATAATATTTACAATTTCTTGCATAAAAATTATAATAACTTGAAGATTTAGTCATGTATAAGATTTTTAGTAAGTGGGACAGTTAAGAAGATTGCTTTTACCTGCCCGATGTTTCGGTGGGTTGACTCATAGGACCACCATTTAGACTGATCGCTCCTAATCCCATTCTTCTGTCCTTAAGCCTGTCAAGCGGCTGTTTGAATTCCAGGAAGCGATGACCATTTTTCACTCGCTAAGACTAAGGACCACACTTTGGCAAGTGAATGTAGAGTGCCTCAAATTGTGATCTGGTTGCTCCTTAGTTTATCATATTACCCTGGCTGTTCATCGAAATACAGCATCTGTGCCATATCTGTTGCATTTTTAGGATCAAGTATGATTGAGCTGGTGTGCTGTGCAATATATAGAGGTACTTGGAATAAGCAGCCAGTTTCATCAGCTTAGAAGCAGCATCGTTTCATTGCTTTCAGAGCCGGAGAGGTGGAGAATTACATTTTCGTAGGTGTTACTGAGGTTTTAACCCCAGGATTATTGGAGTTAACTGTAGTGTCTGGGCCACTCTTCTAATTGGTCTTTACTGCCCCCTGGTGGTCACCAGGGCCGAGCCCTTTGCAGCTTTTCCCCTCCTGCATTTCAGCGATATATGGCTCTGGAGAGAAATTTCTCTCTTCTGGAAGCACGCTTATCTTATGTGAACAGGTTCAGATTCTCCTTTCTTGCATTATGCAAGTCCTCTTCACATGCCCCTCTTCCTTTTCCACACTCATCCTATTTGTAACTGTCCTGTGTGTGACGAGGCCACGTCTGCAATGCCAGAAGGGAAGCTCTTGAACTGAGAAAGGAGGAAACGCATTTTTATACGTGAACGTTTCCAGGTGCTGCGTCCCTTTGTAACTCTTCGGGACTGAGCATGCTGCTTCCAGGTTTTTTATTGTTTTTGTTTTTATTTTGCTGCCCAGGGGATCTGTGTGGGATGGAGGGAGGCCGTGAAGTCGTGAGGATAAGGAAGGCGTAGGGGAGAGAGTACGATCGTAGAGGAAGAAAGCGGATCTCGCAAGCGCTTCTTTTCCCCCACATTTGCTTCTAATGACTTTCCCTTCGTGACTTTTTAAAAACTTACTTCAAGTAATTTTAGACTTACAGAAAATTTGCAAAAACAATACAGAGAGTTGCCACATCCCCTTCACGTAGCGTCCTCTAACGTTGGCATCTCACGTAAGCAGAGTAGAGAGAGCAGGACTAAGAACTGAACCGTGGGGCAGTGCCCGCGAGCCAAGGCCAGGCTTCCCTCCGAGTTCGCCGCTTCCACAGTTGTCCTTCTGGGATCCAGTCCAGGATCCCACCTCACATTTGGTCGTCATGTCCCCTCAGAATCCTTCAGTCTGTGGCAGTTCCTCATACTTTGCTTATCTTTCATGACCTTGATGTTTTTGAAGAGTGATTTCGTAGAATGTCAGTTGTTTGGTAGCATGCTCCTGTGTTTGGATGTGCTTTCTCGTGATTAGACAGAGGTTATGTGTTATAAGGAGACTACCCCAGAGGTGACCTGTCCTTCCCAGTACATCACATCAGGGATGCGTAATGGCAGTGGGACTTACTGCTGGTGTTGTGGTCGTTTGTCATTTATCTAGGGTGGTGTCTGCTGGATTTGTCCATTGTATAGTTACTCTTTTTCTCTTCGTAATTAAAAATATCTTAGGGGAGAGTCTTCCAGACTATGCCAATGTCTTGTTTCTCAGACTTTTGCCCACTAATTTTGGTATCAATTGGTGGATCTTGCCTGTGGCAGTTATTTCTGTGCTTTCCTGATGGTGACTTTATATTTCCCTCATTCCTTCCAGATTTATGTTTCTCATGGTTGTTTACTAACTTCTAGTAATATCATAAACTTATTCATCATTATTTCACTTCAACAATATTTACTGAGCCCCTACAGCACCCAGGCACTGTTCCATCCACTGCCACAGGATGGGAATAAACAAAATAGACAGAAATCCTTGCCCCCAAAGATTGGGAGGACAGAGATAATAAACATAACACGTAAGAAAATCTTATGGTATATTAGGAGGTAGTAAGTGTTATGGGAAGAAATAACAGAGAAGAAATAAGCAAAGTAAGGGTATTAGGGAGCCAGTACACAACTCAATATTAAAGCATTAAAAATAAAATTTCTGTTGAACATTTTCAAGGTATTAACAAGCTGCTCTGACTTATCAGACATTCGCTGTACACAAAGCATTCTTCTGCAGTGGAATTAGAATGCGAATTAGAAGGCTCAGGTCGTACTCCTGAGGAGTCTGCAGTCTGAACCCCGTTGCTGCTGCTTTCTCTATCCCGCTAGCGTTTACCCCTTTTCTTTACCTGGACCCCATCAGCTCAGTTCTATACATTGTCCATACAACACTCCTTCAATTCCCGCTCTGAGTCAGTGCAGGAGACAGCAGGGGAGGACTGCAGGCCCAGCTCACGCCGTGTCACCACGCGGGGTGAGGCCTCCGAGCCCTGCACAGTGTTGGCGACTGAACCCCCTTGTGTCTCTGCTGCAGGTGGTCAACAGAGGGGACCCCTATCCTCAGGAGGTGGGCGCCACCGTCCAGAGAGTCATGGAGAAGCTGAATTACTCCAACCCCTACCGACTGGTCTGGCAGTCCAAGGTAGGTGGCTTCCGTGTGTTTGCAGGCAGTCAGCTCTTTTGAGGAGGTCTATTTTAGGACTTTGTTGTAAAACGATGAGATTTGGCTCTTTCACATAGGCAGACTGTTGCGGAACCCGATTGCTCACCGTAGGCAGAAAGAACTCCACAAGCAAGTGAGGTGGAAGGGAAATCAAGCGGCTAGTCGAGCTTCGTTTACTTAATGTATTATTTTCTGTTGTAATGACAGAAATTGTCATTTATATTTTACTAACTTCTTGAAGGATTCGAGCTTGAACGTGGAAATACCAGAACCCATTAAAGCAGGTGTAAAGCATGGCCCTCACTCCTAAGGAGGTGTGCGTGCCCAGGGCAGTGGGCACAGTGGGAGAGGCGGTCCCTCTGCATGCATCCTCCTTTCTCGTAGGTTGGTCCAATGCCCTGGCTGGGTCCTCAGACAGACGAGACTATCAAAGGGCTTTGCGAGAGGGGCTGGAAGAACATTCTTTTGGTTCCAATAGCATTTACCAGCGATCACATTGAGACACTGTATGAACTGGATATCGAGTACTCTCAGGTTCTAGCTAATGAGGTAAGTCCTGCAATCTGGCTTGTTAATCCCATTGTGATTTGTTTGAAAGGGCAGCTTTCTCTGTAGTGATCTAATTGTATCACTCAGAAGTATTGTTTGGTATATACATTTGCATGTGCTGCATCCTCCTTGTTCTGAATGATACTTAATCTGAGTAATAACCTGAGCACATCAGATTAATTCCAGGTCAGCAGTGGGGAAGCACTTTTATGCCTTTCTGAAACCAGGCAGCCCATTGGGGGCGACACCATTTTGTTTAGTTTGAGTTACTGTACTACCTAAAAGTAATGAAAACCATATTTCCTTAAGAAAAAGTAATCGTCCTTTTACCAATTTGGAGGCCAAACATTTTATTATCTTATAATTCCTTTTCTTTGCTTAATAATGCCCTTTACTTAAGGCTATTACATTGCTTCTCCCTGGGTTTCTGAGGTATTTAGGAGTCACTGTCGTTTAAGAGAAGAGCATGGAATGAATACTGAGCAGTGTGTGTTGTTATTTTCTTGACTACCTGTTTTATGCACTCAATTAGCTATTTGCTGCTGTGTTGTGATCAGTCTGGTTATTGAAATAACAACTGCTATTCTTAGTGTCCTGTAATGTAAGATGGATGTGAATTGTCATTCAGAATGGAGAAAAATCTATTGTTCTCCTGTCTCATGGCTTCTGAGGGCCGGCCTGAAACCTGAGTCCGATTATGGCATTGTTTCTGTGGGAATTGTGGAAGCATTGGGACCCAAGAAGCCCTTCCTCCCATCTTCTGCCAGAACTCCTGGCCCTGGTCATCCCATGTGTGATTGATGGAGGCCTGGCCTTAAAAGGCTGGATGGCTGGTATAGGGCAGGGTGTGGGCTGGGGGAAGCTTCAGCCAGCAACCAGCCTCACAGGTTTTTGTGTATACATCCTGGTCATCAATCAAGCATTGATGAAGTTAGAGGATACCTAAATTACTTGTCAGTAGTTCTGATAAAGAATTTATAGGAAAGTTGTAATTGGCTAAAATGAGGTTGCAGGGTTGTCTGTGGATTTCACGTAATAACGCCTTCTGTGTCTCACCATGACCTTGGCTAATGTGAGCTTGCTAAAAAGTCTTAAGTGCAAATATAGTTCATACTTGGAAAACAAGTTTTGTTTGTATTGAATGATAATTCACATTCATTCATATTATCAAACTGAGGCCATTCCTTAGTAATCAAATGGATTATTAGTGACTATAAATTAGTCCATATAGAGAATAAAGAAAACCATCTTGCTACAATTTATTTCATTCTTTTGATGGGAGAATATACCGTGTTTAAAACAACTGACTTTATTTAAAAAGTAGTTTGAATTTTTCCTCAAGCAGAAGTAAATATTACTTTTGGATAATAAAAATAATAAAAAGCTCAGCCAGTTGAGAGAAATATAACAGAACTCACTCAGAATCTTACCCCTCAGATATAGTACGCTAATATTTTAATAAAAGTCCCCTTTCTCCTCTAAATGTATGTGTATTTTAATTAAGATGGTATTTTTCTACGCATTTAACAAAAATGGTATTTTTGCACACTGTTTTGTAACCTTTTTTTTTCCTTAAAAATATATTATGGGCCCAAATCAATAAATATAATTAGATCTTTGTAATTATTTTTAACAAATCCTTGATTAGCATACATTGAAGATGTTTCTAATTTTTTGTTGTCAAACTGCTCTGTAACAAACATCATTTTCTTCTTTATTTTTCCCATTATTTTCTTAGGATAAGTTTCTAGAATGGGATTTGAATGTCGATACACATTTTACTGCTTTGCCCTACAGAACTGAATCCTTTAACTCTCCCTTCAGCAGCGTTTCAGCACTGCTGGCCGACACGGGTTACCTCGGGGCTACTGACTTCTCTGT